TGACAAATAACTTATAGCAAATAGTGTGCGTTTCATATACAACCGGACTCCACACAAAGAACTTTTTGGATTTCGACATTCCCATGATGTAGCCTGTATCCTGTGATGTATGAGGAAAAGATGTATACCGGTATTAATAAGGTTATTACGAGGATACGGAAAAGTATGTACTCAGATAGTACACCATTGCATCGTACTCCCGCTGTACTGTCTTCGTGCATACTTTTCGGTATCCTTGTAATAACCTCATATTATGTCTTTGTGCATACTTTTTGGTATCCTCGCAATAACCTCATATTATAAGTAAATTGGTCTAATCTGTGTGTGTTCCATATACAACAACCAAATTGAACTTTTGTCAGTTATTGTGGATACAGCTGTTGATGTGAAGAAGTCGACCCTTGTTGTTAGTTTATGTGCAGGTAGTATTAGTGAAAGAAAAATAATAATCTTGTATGCATGATAGATCACTTCTTTATTGATAAGTGCTGGTCATTGAGCAGCGGGTGTTTGAATTATGTGTAAACATATTTGACCAGTGTCTTATCCAGGACACGATTGCATGACTTGTGCCAATTTCTGATGCACGATTTTACTGTGTATCAATTTTAAGAAACTACCACAGTATTTGCAAGTGTATCGGTATGTGTGATTTGTGGCCTACTTTGATTGTAAATGTTGTATTTCCAAATTACATCAACACCATCTTTGTCATCAGAATCCAATCTGCAATTTACATACAGGTGTATATTCCAAACCGTTCCTGAAGTACATCTATAGTTCTATATAACTATATTCCTATCTTATCTTATTGACGTTGGCACAGGCACAAAAAATATCAATCAACACTATGAACTTTTGAAGAAATGGCAGAAATAAGATTGATAACTTAAATAATACCTCAAAACAATTGCATTTTTTAATGAGACCTTTAAGGTATAAACCTTTACAGACTAGGTAGGCCTTTTGTGTCCCTCAGTAATACGACAAAAGTTACTTTCAGGAAATACTGTGAACCATTTGATTTTTTCATGATTCAACGATTTAATGGTGTTCGCATCAAAAACCAATTGACGCTGTGACTCTGTCTCTTTAGTATCCCAGAGAAGTTGTCACTGCTACAAAATTTCTCAATTTTTTTGATGGACTCACTGATATTTTTGTGAAATTATAGGTGTTTACAGTACCTTCAAAGTAACAACTTTTTGGAATCTCTCAAATCATATTTCCTTAAATGAAACTTCTCAATAGTATTTATTCCAGCTGTAATTATATCTAGATGTATAGAAACCATAGCGCGGTGAAATGTCTTACCTTGCCCCTCAATTACGTTACGGAGGGTGATGGTTGCTCCTAAGCCGAAACCTCCTCGTTTTATACAAATACCAACAAATGTGTTCTTTTTACCAGGTGCACATGGGTCTGACATAGTCACCCTTAAAATACTCCCTACAGAGATAAATAAAAGAGGAATCCGATTGGACATACTGTCTAGTGATATCGACTGAAGTAAGTTTGTAGTGACTGTACAGCTTACACAAAGTTTACTTTCTAATGTTATCATCCGTCAAAACAATTAAGTTAAGAAGTTCACTACATTGTATAAGAAATAATGAGGGGATTAAAACAAAAAATCAGCATAGAGAAGATTTTGAAAAAAAAAAATAGAGGAAAAATGACAGAAAATAAAATATATTTAAAAAAAAAAATGCCAAAAATGCCAAAAATTGGTTTACAGTAAAACCAAGCTCAAAACTAAGTGAAGGAAACAAATAATTTTTGCAGTACTATCATCTCAGCCAGAGTTTGATATACTGTCAAATACTTTATTTTAGCTGGAATTAATTTTCCTTGAAAAGCCTTTTTGGATGATTTGTATGCAGTTAATTTTTACTGATTCTGATCCCTTCAGCGAAAATAAATTCCAACCGGAAATACAGTATTTTGCAGTACTCCATATCTATATAACACTTTATCAAATTTCAAAGATTTCTCCTGTCTAATTGCATAATCAACATTATGTAGAGAATAATAATAATTATTGGTGGGTTAAATTTTAGTGAGATTTGATGTTGCAAAAGTATTGACTGCGTTTCAAATTAGTGTATTTAATTACCAGCCAAAAAAACCCAGCAGCATGCATAATTAGCCCCTGTAATGTAGTCATGCAAGTTAAATTTCACAATATTAATTCAACACTGAGGTCTGGAAACAGGTTTTACAGATGCTTTATGTGAACTCATGAGACGCTATGCAAATATGACAATGAGGTCTGTTGAAAAAGGGCATTACCGGTAATTATTTCAAAATTACAAAAATATTTCAATCTGTTTAAAACTGCACTGAGGACACAAATACATGACTAGAATACCAAAACACATTTATTCGTATAGGTACATGTATTTACTGCATTGAAGGCAATTAACCTTAGTTAATTCTATTGGTAACAGCTCCCATGGAGAGTTTTAAGTTAGTACAGCCTAGAACCAATGTTCATTCCGGGTCTGAGACATAAATTTGAGGTCATAGTTCATAGATCACCTACCAACATAAAACTCTGGAATATCGATTACTTTTCGTCTTCTCAGCATATCTTTTCTCTCTAAATAGTCTCTAAGCTTGGATCTTCTTCCCGGTCTGTGTTTTGGTGGGAAAAACTCGGGACTGATGAACTTACTGGGTTGTCCTTCTCTTTGCGGGATCTCCCAGTAATCACGTTCGGCGGTTTCGTGGAGGTTGTTGCCAGGGGTTGATTGAGGTGTCTTGGCATCTCGAGCTAATGTGGTACTCAGACATCTAGAAGGCCTAATGTGCGACGCTGGTTGAGAATTCAATAAGAGAAATTTAACACATTGGGAGAAGATGATGAACATGATCATAACTACTCACTAAACTTTACTGCACATGTTACAAATTTCAATAACTGAATCTAGGTAAGCAAGCTGCCAGTCTTCTCCTTTTTTAAACATTTATTTAATTTTTTTGAATTTATTTTTAATTTTTTGAACGCTACAAGTTTTCCCGCCAAAATGT